CAGATACCTAGCGACGGTCCACACGGGCAAGGTCCAGCGTTGGGCCTTGTACCTAGCGCAATTTAACTTCGATATAGAGTTCCTACAGGGAAGTCAGAATAACGTTGCCGACTGGCTTAGTAGGTATGCCGCTCCAGACATCAACGAGGATGATCTGCTAGACGCCGTGGGTCTACCGGTCAGACAGCTGGACAAGATAGACGTGGGCACAGATCTGCCGAGTGTGGTTGAGGTGAGGCGTGCGGAGGAGGGCCTGACTGGCCACAAAGCTTATGTAGAGCGCGACGGTAGGATTGTGGCAGCCGCGACTCGTCGAGGGTAGGTACCGGGGCTCTACGAGAGAGAGTAATTCGCAGCTTGCACTACAGACGAGGTGGAACACATGGGCGTGACAAAGACTGAGAAGAGTAGCGCAGTACTTTGTGTGGTCAGGCATGCCTGCTGACGTGGCAGCCTTTGTGAAGTCTTGCTTGATAGGCGCTCGACTGAAGCAACCGCGTTCCACCACCCACGGATACGAGATGGGGCACTTGGACGTTGCGGTGAACCCGACCTTCGTGGGTCTCGATCACGTAGGTCCGATAATGTACGAGAGTGTTCGCTACATTATACTCGTTATCATGGATCACGCCACGAGGTATATGGTGGCACGGGTACTTGCCGACACAACAGCTGAGTCTACTTACAAGGTGTTCAAAGGTGGACTACTTCGTTCGGAGTGCCGAGAGTGATACTTACGGACAACGGCTTCCGACGGCTTTCTTACTTGCTTTCCGCGGGTCGTTCCAGGAGCAGATAAACGTCTACTATACCACACCGCACCGAGAGGGACCGCCAAGTGAATACGTCGTCAGAGGAACGGACGGGAGGAGGAGGATGAGACTGAGACGGAGACGGGCAGATAGACATAACGCGATCCAGCTAAGTTTTTGGGGGAGGAGAAAGAACACATCACCTATCACCCGACCAATAGTATATAGCGGGGTGTTCGAGGGAGCGTTTGACGGCGAGAAGAGGCGTTAGGTCTGCAGGCCGACAAGGTTGATACTACCCAGACACGCCCGATTTCGAGCCATGAGCTATTCAGCTCGCTTTCACTATGGTGTTCGAGCCCGAAACGTCTATAATGGCTTGTGAGTCCAAGATGTTCAAGCTCTAGTGGTATGGTCGTTGCTCTGACGGCTTTCTTTGACAGAAGGCCGGCCTTAGCCACTACAGCGGAGCTGGTCTTAGCCAATACGGTCGATCCCCTACACTGACAAAGCTTCGGGTACTTCTCCAAGTAGCAATTCCCCAAGTAGCCTGACGACCGAACTACGCAGGCCCTAATGGTCAGTGACAGTCAATTCCCATTATGTATGGGAATAAGCACCTGAGTGGAATAAGCACCTGAGTGGAGGTTACGCCGAACCACCGCCTGGCGTCGTAACATCCATTCGGGTTTTTATTCCCAGAAGCTTGCTATGGGGATTGGCTGCCACTTACTATTGGGATTGCGCTCCGTCCTTGCTCCCGTCGTGTCGTGTCGTGTCGCGGTCTATCGTGAAGCTCGGGGAGAAGTGTGTTGTGAGGCTGAGAGGAAGGTGCTACGGACGGATCGAGGGCTCTCGAGTGAGCGAATGACAACATTGTCAACGCGGGGAGTGCGCGGGGGGCGTCCGTTCACGTTGTTGAACTGCATTGTCGGCCGGTGTGGTAGCCACGAGGGTAATGGATGAGACGGTAAGTCCGGCACGATTCTGAACGTCCATCAACGTTTACAATCTGAGTTCACGACCAGACAAAAAAAAACGACCAGACGACAGGAAGACCAGACGACAGGAAGACCAGACGACAGGAAGACCAGACGACAGGAAGACCAGACGACAGGAAGACCAGACGACA